CCGCGGCCGCCGCGCCGGCGAGCGCGCCGCGCGCGCACGCCGCGGGCGGCGCGGCGGCGACCCGCCCGGCGACCCGGAGCGCCGCCGCGGTCCGCGAGAAGTAGCGGCGGCTCGTCTCGCGGACGAGCCGCGGCCGCCCGAGGTAGGCCTCGGCGAGGCTCCGCGCGAGGATGGCCGCCTCGCGCGCGAAGAAGCCGCCGCCGATGAGCGCGACGATGGCCAGCACGAGCGTCGCGAGCATCCTCGGGTCGTCGAGGAGCGTCGCGGCGCCGCGCGCGACGTAGCCCGAGACGAGCGCGATGGACTCGAGGACCTTGCGCCGGTCCTCGGCGGCCTGGGCGCGCATGGCCCGCAGCTTGACGTCCTCGTTGGCGCGCTCCGCCGCGGCGCGCGCCTCGGCCTCGGCCTTGACGCGCGCGAGCTCGGCCTCGCGGCGCATCGCCTCGATCTTGACCTCGTCCTTGAGGCGCTGCGCGAGGAGCGCCTCGTCGGTCCTGCGGCGCAGTTCCTCCTGCTTGGCGACGGACTCCTCCATGAGCCGCAGGTGCGCGCCGTGGCGGTCGCGCTCCGCGCCGTCCTCCTCCAAAAGGCGCCCCCGGCTCCGGCCGTCCTCGCCGCGGAGCGTCGCGTTCGCGGCCTCCGCGCGCTGCAGCGCCGCGAGGCGCTCCGCGGCGGCCTCGAGGTCGAGCTTCGCCTCCTCGGCCTCGAGCTCGGCGATGAGGTCCTTGGCCTCCGCGACCTTGGCCAGGTCGTCGGGGTCCGCGGCCTCCGCGAGCTCGGAGGCCGCGGCCTCGAAGCGCCACCGCGTGTCGTTCGCCGTCTCCGTCAGGTGGCGGACCGTGGCCTCGAGTTTTCGCTGCCGCGCGCCGAGCTCCTGCGCCGCGCCGAGGCCGTGCATGAACAGGACGCCGCTGTCGACGTGGGCGAAGTTGTCGACGAAGATGGGCGCGCCCTTGGGGTTCGCGGGGTCCGGGAACGCGCGGCGCCCGACGCTCACGGCGTCGGGCGCGAGCTTTTCGAGCTCCGGGCCGATGACGCCGAGGCGCCGCCGGTTCGCGACGGAGTCGTACTCGAGCTCGTAGAGCTTGATGGGCAGGTGCCGGACGATGTCCAGCGACGCGGACGTGTTCGCGACCTCGAGGCCCACGTAGATGGCCGGCGCGTTCGCGATGGACTCCGCGATGGCGGCCTCCGCCGCGCGCGCGGCCTCCTCGGCGGCCTGCAAACGCCGGAGGGCCGCCTCCTCCCGGAGGCGCGCCTCGGCCTCCTTGGCGGCCTCGCGGTCCCGGAGCGCGCGCGCCTCCCGCGCGGCGTCCTCCTCGGCGCGGGCCTCCGCGGCCCGCGCCTCCTCGGCCCGGTGCGCCTCCTCCTCCGCGAGCAGGCGCCGCATCTCCGCGGCCTCGGCGGCGCGCTGCCGCTCGCGCGCCGCGGCCGCCGCCGCGGCCTCGGCGCGCGCCGCGGCCTCCCGCGCCTCCGCGGCGGCGGCGACCGCGGCGGCCTCGCCCGCGGCGCGCTGCGCCTCGACGGCCGCCGCGCGCTCGGCCTCGACGGCGACGAGCCGCTCCGCCTCGGCCTCGACGGCGAGCCGCTCCGCGTCCGCCGCCTCGGCCGCGGCCCGCGCCTGCGCCTCGAGCGCCGCGGCCTTGGCGAGGTCCTCCTCCGCGAGCCGCTGCGCCGCCGCGGCCTCGGCCCGCTTCTGCGCCTCGTCCGCGTCGCGCCGCTCCTCCGCCGCCTGCTGCTCCGCTTCCCGCCGCTCGTCGGCGACGAGCTGCTCCTGTGCAACGCGTCGCTCGTCGGCGATACGTTTTTCTTCCGCGACCCGCTGCTCTTCAGCAATACGCTGCTCGTCGGCGGCTCGGTTTTCTTCCGCGACCCGTTTCTCTTCAGCAATGCGCTGCTCGTCGGCGGCTCGGTTTTCTTCCGCGACCCGCTGCTCCTCTGCGAGTCGTTTCTCTTCAGCAATGTGCTGCTCGTCGGCGAATCGTTTTTCTTCCGCGACCCGCTGCTCGTCCGCAACCCGTTTCTCTTCAGCAACGCGCTGCTCCTCCGCAACCCGTTGCTCCTCGGCAACCCGTTTCTCTTCGGCGACTCGTTGCTCCTCGGCGACTCGTTTCTCTTCAGCGACTCGTTTCTCTTCAGCAACTCGTTTCTCTTCAGCGACGCGCTGTTCGTCGGCCACACGCTGCGCCTCCGCCGCGTTCTGCGCCTCCGCCGCGGCGGCGGCGGCTGGCGGCGCCTGCTTCGCGGCGCGAGCGCGCGCGGCGGCCGCGGCCGCGGCCGCGGCGGAGGCGCCGCCGCCCCCGCCAGAGGACGACGCCGCCGCGCGCTCGGCGGCCGCGCGCGCGCGCTCCACCGCCGACGGTCCGCCGCTCGACGCCTACGCGCGCGTTGGTTTCACGAGTGGAATCGTTGTGTTGGGACGCTGGGGGAGCGGACGCCACGCGCGGCCGCCGCCCGGGCTGCCGCCGCCGCCACGGCGCTCGACGCGTCCTGCGGTGCCGCCGGCATTGCGACGCAGGCGAGCAGGAGCCATCGCAGCATGTAGCAGCCCATCGCGCACGCGGCGAGACGGCCAGTGGGCTGCATCGAGACGGCAAGTTGACAAAGGAGCCGGCAACACCGAAGCCGGCAAAGCGGCGATGCTGCTCATTGAGTAGCTCGCACAACGACCTCCAAGCATGTCCGTCGCCGCGTTGGCGGCCCTCGCCGCGGACGAGAGCCGCTTCGCCGGCGCCGACGCCGAGCTCGCCGCGTCGCTGCGCGCCGCTCTGAAGCAGGTGCACGACGAGGCGGTGGCGAGCGGCCGGCGCGCGGCGTCGGCCCTCGGCGACGCGGTCCGCGCCGTGCGCCCGACGCCGGAGCTGCTCGTCGACGGCGTCGACCGCGAGACCGTGTGGCAGCAGCTCCAGGGCCGGAGCCGCGCCGTCGAGCGCCACGCGGCGGCGGCGACGGTCTGGCTCGCCGAGCAGCGCGACCGCTTGCTCGAGGAGGAGGACGAGGACGACGACGAGGAACTCGAGGAGGAGGAGGAACTCGAGGAGGAGGAACTCGAGGAGGAGGAGCTCGAGGAACTCGAGGAGGAGGACGTCGAAGATGAAGAAGAGGAGGACGACGAGGACGAGGACGAGGAGGACGAGTCGGACGACGAGGAGGCGCCCGCGCCGGCCAAGGCGAAGAAGGCGCGCAAGGCGGAGCCGGCCGGCGGCGTCACGGAGGACGACTTCTTCTCGCTCGCGGCCATGGAGGCCTTCGTCAAGGAGGACGAGGACCTCATCGCCGCGGGCCCCGGCGACGGCGCGGCCGGCGACGGCGACGACGACGAGTCCGACGACG